CGGCAGCTCTGCAGGGCTGGGGCCTGGGGTGTGGGGGTGCAGGTAGGGGGACGGAGAGGTGGAGGAAGAGGAGGCTGGGGGTGCACTGCGGTCGGATCACGGAGGACTGGTGAGCTGGCTGTGAGGTTCAGGCTTCATCCTGAGGGCCCTGGGAGCCTTGGAGGGTCAAAGAGAAGTTAAGGGACAAAGCGCCCGCCCTGTAGACATGGGGATGGGGAGCTCCAGGAGGACCCGGTTCCTCAAGCCCCTGAACAGGAAGAAGCCCCGGCCTCCCTCCCCTCCCCTCCCTAGCATTTTCTCTCCTTCCCTCCTCTGTTCCCCCAGCTTCTCCCTCCCTCCTCTCCTCCATTCCTGAGGCCCCTCCTCCCCACCTCCCCCTGCCCCGCCCCTCCGCTCCCTCCAGACCCTTCCCCAGCCCCAGGCTCCAGCGGCCCCAGGGCTGAGTGGCCCTTGCGACGGCCTGCAGCGCCACCTCGGGGCCGGAGCCGGCAGCGCCGCGGGGTCGCCACACCCGGAGGCAGGCGCGGGTCCCCTCCTCCGCCCCAGGGAGCAGGTGCGGCCAGCCCGCCGGGCCCAGGGCCCTCCTCCGCCCACAGCCCGGCTCCGCGGCTCCGGGGTGATGCTGGCGTGGACAGCAGTCCCGTCTCCGTCCCCCCTGACGACCCTCATGACCAGCTCAGCTCCTCTCGCCGAAGACCAGGCGGCAGAACTGAAGACAGTCCCTCCCCTTTCACCCCCTGCGTGGGGCCACCAGCCTGGGGACGCCAGGGCTCCTTGCGCTCCTGGGAGGTGGGCCCCACAGGGGCCGGCGCACCCATACTGCAGATGCGGAGACCGAGGCTCCGACACGGGCAGTCGGGGCGGATGGCTCGGGACCTAGAACCCGGCACCGTGCCCTGTTCAGTAATCACACGCGATCGCCCACGCTGTGCCAGGTGGAGCTCTGGGACCAGGGACACAGAGAAGAAAAGGCAGTGGAGGAAGCCCCTGCCCTGGGGGGGAGGGTATGTAAGTGCAGGTTCTAGTGATCGGAGATTTGACCTGAACGTATCAGAGAAGGTGCTGGCCACCCAGGGGGCTCCTGGGAGGGGTGGGGGAGGGAGGTCTGAACTGGCTTCAGAGGGGAGATGGCTTCTGGGCTGTCTCCTCCAGGCAGAGTGAGAGTTTGCCAGGGGAGGATGATGGAAGGGCTTTCCAGGCTGGGGGAACAGCCTGCCGGAAGGCAAAGAGGCCAGAAACAGCAGGAGGTGGGGGGGGGGGGGTTCCTCTGTGACTGCAGTGATGGCTGGAAAGAGGTGCCAGACCAGGAAGAGGTTTGGGCCTCTTTCTGTAGGCATTAGGGAGACGAGGTATAATAGCAGTCGTGATCACAGTGCATATTAATAGCCCCAGCTAACACTTACTGAGGGCTTCCTGTTTGCCAGGCATGTTCTGAACACTTTAGACATTTCTTTCTTTCACTCCTCTTAGAAAGATTATTGCCACCTCTATTTTATAGAGAGGAGAAGACACAGAAAGGTTAAGTCACCGCGCCTGGTCATTCAGCTAGTGGGTGGGAGATTCGACCCCAGCACCAGACTCCAGAGCCTGTGCCCTCAATGAGGACAAAGGTGGGGGGCGGGGGGAGTGCAGGGCTGGGGAGGGAGCAGATCCCAGAGCTCTCTAGGCGATAGGGTGGCTGGGGCCACTGATTACCTGGAGGGGGAAGGCTGGAGGAGGCAGGATGACTCTGTCTTAGTCTGACGGTGCCATTCAGATTTCACTCATTCTGAGAATAAATTCTGCCCTCAGGTCTGCCTGGCCTTGGCCTCCGCCCTCAGGGAGCTGACATTTCAGGAGGCCAAGAGAAATAAACATAAACACAAGACTGAGCAAGACAGTCTCAGACAGTGATACTGACTTGGAGGAAAACTGGAGGGAGAGAGGGATCCAGAGATAGGGGGGCGGAGGATTCCTTACTTAGGGCCAACCTCCAGGGACACACCTTGTGGCCCTTCCCCTCCAAGGGCCCTCCCCCATCCCCCCCCCGGGGCCCTGTGAAGGCTGCAAGAGGGAGGGGTCCCTGATGGCCCAGGTCTAGGAAAATGCCCCTGGAGACCCCTCTGTGCTTTCCGGGTCAGCCCCTTACTTCCTCCTGCATTGGCTCCCAACCGTCTCCCTTGGGAACACCTCAGCTTAATGGGCCTAAAACAGCAAAGTTTTTGGCTTCCCCTGCCTGCCTCCAGGGCCAAGGTCCAGGAGGGACAGTTAGACCTTCGGGAACAGAGCGATGACCTCTCTTTTCCAGAAGAAGTGAGGGAAAAAGTTCCCTACCACACGCTGTTTGGTTTTGAATAACCACCCCCCCCCCCGCCCCGTGTTGCCTATAAAATATTAGACACAGAGAATCTTAGAGCAACAGAGTCTTAGATCCTTCGACTTTAGCATCACATTAGAGACTCTGTGAGAAATGGAACCCCTTGGGTTTCTGGCGTCATTCAATTTTGGATTTGTAGGATGAAAACACGAGATCAGAAGCCTAGGGTTTGGGGGTTCGGATTCGCAGGGAGCTTGGATGTCCCCTCGTGGTTCCATCCACCCCTCACTAGCTGCTGTCTTTGGGCATTCACTTAACGTCTCTGTGCCTCAGTTTCCTTTCTTTTTGTTCAAAGCGGACGGAAATAGTTTGCACCCGGAAGGGCTCCTGCGCCGGTTCAATGAGCTGCGGCTACAGAAAGCCTGGCCCAGTGCCAAGCTGGGTAAACTGTGAGCTATACTAACACTCTTCGAGCTAATGCAGTTCACCTCCCCTGTAATGCAGGGGTGGGTCAGACAGCTGCTGGTGCCTCTGCCCAGCCGGCCGCTGTGTAGAAGGCCATCCAGCCTAGACTAGATTCCCTCCTGAGGTGAAGTACCCACCTTCACAAGACGCAACCTTTGTCCTGCAGCGAGGGAACGGGTCCGAGCCCTGAGTGTCCCAGTCCTGTTCTCTGGTGCTGGAGACCCCCTCCTCCATGCCTACAAAGCCAAGGGTAGGGTGGGGGGTGGGGGGAGGAGCTAGGCCCACCCAGCACCTTCCCCAGGATGGCCTGGCGAGGTGGTGCAATTTGTCCAGAGCCCTTCCCAATCCAGCTGTGCTTTTCTTCCTGTCTCAGCAGCCCCCTTCCATTGCCGGGTTTCCTGGGTGCTCATCTGTCCCGCCTTGACAGGGAGAAAAGCCTCCATTCGTTCTCCCGAGGTCAGAGAAAAGCGTGTGCTTTATAAAGGACACCTGGATTAGTAACATTTAAGGGAAAGCCACAACTTGGAGAGGGTGGGTTCAAGCATCCCCTGGGGGGCTGCGGGACCAAAATGGGTGGGATCGGGAGGGAGCTTAGAGCACCGGCTACCCGGATCCAGGGGCTGGAGGCTTCTCCGGGCGCCCTGCCTTCCTCCCTGCCGCCCGCCGCCGCCGAGTGCAGGACCACAGTCCGGATCACCTACCCATCTGCAGTCCTGGTGGCCTGCCGGTCCTCTGTCCCACGGCGTTAATTGGTTAATCCGGCACCGGTAAATCCCCTGCTTCGCCTCTAGGGGAGGAGCTGCGGTCGGGGAGCTGGGTGCTTGCTTGCAAGGCGCCCATCACCAGCCTGAGGGATTTTGCTGGCTGGGCAGGAGAATGCGTGTAACTCCCAAATTAGGCTTTCCACGGCCGTCTTTCCCTAAAGGAGACACGTGGGCTCCTTTAGTGTTTCAGCTAAAACACTGAGAGGGAGCAAGTGAAGTCGAAATTGGCTTCTTTCTAGAAATTCAGTGAAAACAGTCTGGACTGGTTTTGTGTTTTCCATTTTCTATCTCCCCCCACCCCCACCCCCACCCCTCCCCGGCCTCCCCCTCCCCCGCCCCACCCCACTCCACCTTGGCCTCTGATGCCAAAGCCACACGAGCAGACGTGGCTTCACAGGACCAGACATTCAGAGTCAAGCCGAGTCGAGTGGTCAGTGGGGAGAGCCGGTGGGCTTGGGGCCACCTGGCTCAGCTCTGTGATGAGGGTGGATCCGGGCCTCGGTGACGGGGAAGAAGGTTCCAGAATGGGGAGAGGCTCAAGAAAGGAAAGAGCACCTGTGCTCCCACCCGCCCCCAGCCATCCCCACCCCACTTTCTGCTGCAGGCGCAGTGAGGGGCCCAGGATCCTCAGGAAAACCAGGCCCCGCCAGGCGCTGCTCCTTTGCACATGCTGTTCCCCCTGCCGGGGGTGCCCTGCTCTCTGCTGGAGAAGCCCCCGCAGCCTTCCAGCCGCACGCCCCTCCTCGGCAAAGTCTCTGTCCTCCCCACCCGCCCCCAGCCATCGTGCTCTTACGACCTTTCCAGCCGCAGACCTTCTTACCTTTGGAGGATCCGTCTTCTATGAGATCACACATATTAGATCAGATCCCACATCGAATCAATGTATGTGTCACATGTGAGAGCCAAGTAGAGCAGAAAGTGACTCTTTGACACGTACCGATTTCTTTTTGCTTTTTAAGGGTATTTATTTGGAGGGAGAGAGAGGGTGCACATGCGAAGGAGGGAAGAGAGAGGGAGAGAGAGAATCCCACGCAGGCTCTGCCCTGGCAGCACAGAGCCTGACCCGGGGCTTGATCCCACGAACCAGGAGACCACGACCTGAGCCGACATCCAGAGTCGGACGCTCAACCGACTGAGCCACCCAGACTCCCCAGTACCTATCAATTTCAGCGGCGCAATTTCCTGTTCGTATTTTAACCCCATGACTCTCTCCGGACCTTAAACCTCCTCAGAGGCCCTCAAGAGCTCGGAGATCCTGGCGCTGTGGCTGGAGCGGAGCATCTGAGGGAGAAAACGCTCCCCTTCCACCCGGTCCCCATCCACGCAGAACCGGGGCCTTCCCGCGGTATCCCACGGTGACGTCATCATCGCGGTCTCCGCGGGACAAGGCAGGGGGCGCGGCCCGTCATTTCTAGATGCCACGTGGTCAGCCCAGGGCCAGGCACAGAAGGATCAGGAAAGCTGCTGAGAAAAAGTGAGCAAGCCAGTGAGACCTCCTGGCAGCACAGGTGTAGGAACAGCAGACGGGGACACGGGTGGCCTTCGCAGACCGCGCCTCCCAGCGCCCGCCTAGCCAGGGAACAGATTCCTCTCTCGGGGGGGGGGGGGGGGGCCCAGGCTTGTCTTCCCCAGGAGCTGTTGCCGGGATGGGGCGTCACCGAGGCTCTTCTAGGAGCCAGGTGGGTGTGACCGACAGTGTCTTCCTGCGTCCTCTCTCCAGCAGGGCCCAGAGGGTCCCCAGGGGAGGGGGGGGGGCAGATGAGGACAATTCTGGACGGTCCCCCGCCCCCTCTGCAGGAGATGGACATTCTAGCAGCAGCCTGACTGGTTGGATCTGGGTCTGGATGTCCCCACTCACGTTCTGTGTGACCCTTTAGGGTGTGACATACCCCCCCGTCACCTCTCCCCGTTCCCCCAAAGCTAATGTCCACAGGCCCCCCAGACCCTTCCACGCCCGTGTCACATCACGTTCCCCTCGCTCACTCCACCCAGCCCCACGGCCTTCCCAGTGCCCCTTGAACACTCTAAGCACGTGCCCACCGCAGGGCCTTTGCACTAGCTGTTCCCTTTGCCTGGAAGGCTCTCCCTGCGGATATCCGCGTGCTTCATTCCCAACTCCATCGCACGTCACCTCCTCAGCAGGGTCTCCTCCTCCCCTGACCGCCCCACCTAACAGAGCCTCCTTCCTTCCTCTGGGGACCCACAGAGGGATCGGCTGAAGGTTCAGTGAAGGACTCTCGGCTTGGGAATCTCATGGGAAGAAAAGAGACGAGCATGTGCCGAGCACCTACTGTGTGCCCGGCCTTGGGTCAGAACCACCTCTGCGACCTTATTTGATCACAGGGGTCCTTCCAGGGAGGACCATGTCGTCTTCTCCTATTTGCAGGTGAGGAAAGAGGCTCAGAGAGGGGAACCGACCTGCCTGAGGCCTCATGGTTTGTAAGTGACAGAGCTGTCCCCAGCCCTCCACCCACTGCCCTGGAGATGGAGGTGTGGGACCCTCGGCATCCGAGGGGACGGCCGACGCGGACAAGACCGTCCCAACGGGGTGTGATAAGGAGCACGATGATAGAAGTGATGTATGTGAGGAATAAGCTGGGAAGCCAGCAACGTGCGCAGAGAATAACCCATCAGAGAGGCAGGAGGGGAACTAAGGAGGGGGAAGAGTGACGTGCGGAGAGGTGAGCAGGACAGAAAATCAAGACGTGGGTGCCGCACGTGGTCAGTGGCGACAATGGCGGTCAGCAGTGACCCCTGGCAGTCAAAGGCGACCCATGGTGGTCAGCAGCAACCAGCGTGAGCACTGGTGGCCAGTGGCAGCCTGTGTTCGGTGGTCATCCGCCACTGAGCGCTAATCTGCACTGGCCCACGGTGCTTGCCGTCAGGTGGTGGTCCCGTCTGGGGAGCACTGAGGCGTGCCCCTGCGGTGTAACCAGCCAGAGATCACTGGCGGCCTCTGTAAGAGCGGCTTGATGGGAGCCGCGTGGTGGGGCCAACAAGAGAGGGGACTGGCCGACAGCGGGAGGCGACGCAGTACAGGGCCCGATGATGACGCGTAGCATGAGGACCGAAGGAGAGAGAGGAAACTCATGTTGGGAGAGGGGAGCCCCGTCATGCCTATGGGCACCTGCCAAGAGGGTGGGCACTTGGGACAGCCATGGGGATGGGGCAGGAGGAAGAGAAGACAAGGGGGAAGCCTCCCTGCTGTGAAGTAGCTAACGAGACACCCACCGCACCCCACCCCAACCTGGAGATATCAGCTGGCTTACATTAAGTGAGGCAGAGGGCCCTGGGGGGAAGGATCTGGAATTGGGGGTCAAGGCAACATGGTGGGAGTCCGGCTGCACCCCTCAGTAGCTGTGTGACCTTGCCCCCCTGGGCTTCGTTTCTGTCCTCCGGAAAATAGGATCCGGAAGGCCCAAGCTCACAGCCAAGTTCAGTAGCGTTCATGGTGAAGCGGTCAAGAACACGGGCTTTGGAATCAAGGTCACTCCCCGGGTTAGGTGACCTGGGGACGATAAAGAGCAGTAGCATAATGAGTTGGATTCCCTGCCCCCTCTTTTCTGGGTGGATTCTCTTCCTGCTGCTTTGTTCTTCCTCTGTGGGTGGGGGCTCAGTCTGATCTTGGTACACTGGGGTCTTAGAGGCGGCGGGGAGCCTGCAGATCGTCTCTCCATTCCAGCTTTCCCGTGGAAAGACGAAGAGTCAGGGTCACAGAGAGAAGAACGTGCCTGAGGACCCACAGGAACTATGTGTGGAGCCCAGGTGGGGACGTATTTGATCATCACAGCTGTCCTAGAGGTAGTCGCCTGACTCCCAGACCAAGGCCACGTCCCCCACAGTGCACCGCGCAGGAACTGGGGCCAAGGACTTGGGGGGCTTGCCTGCCCTCCACAGGGGACCTCGGAAATCAAACCAAACCAAAATAAGGAAGCAGCTTCTGTGTGACGAATGGTTGCTGTTTTCAGCCCTGGTCTGAGCGCGGCACGTGTCCTCTCCGGTTCCAGCCTCTCCACACTTCGATGCGGCTGGGGCCGTCAGTGTCTACTTCCCAGCACACAGCACGGCAGGTGCGTGGCCCAGCCGGAAGTCCGTCCCAGGCAGTTTGCTGCTAGAATGCACGAAGCCACTCCCGTTCTGTGCACCTCGGCAGAAAAGGAGGGAAAAGGACACAAGGGAGGAAGGGCATCATGTCTGCGACACGGCGGCACGTTATAGGAGTTCATGTGTGCGGGTGGCCTGACCTCTGAGTTTGACGAGAGGTTGCGCCTTATCCCTGAGCAAACCCATCTGCCCTGGGGAGCTCCGGGGAGGGCAGGCTGCTCCCCTCAACTGAGTGGGCACAGTGCAGGCAGATGGGCCCGGGGGGAGAACAGTGCCAGGCGCACTGGCCAGGTCCCCACACCACTAAGTCTAAGCTGCTGAGACATGAACAAAGCTCTCCCCTCCCCTCCCCTCCTCTCCCGGAGCCTTGGGTCCGCCTCTGCAAAAATGGACACAATGTAACCACCAGACTGTGGCATTGCTGTGGGATTGGAATGAAATCAGGGAGGAGGAAGTTGGTGCTCAGCGACACTACTGGGCCCCAGGCTCACCCAGCCGGTGAGCTCAGAAGCCAGGACTCAGGCTTTGCTGCCTCTGTTCCTGTCCTCGTCTTCCGGCCCCACAGCCCAGTGGGAGGGGGCCAGCCAAGCCTCCCTTCCAAGCCTCGATTTCCTCATCTGAGGAATGGAGGTAATGACACCCTCTGGCAGGTTCTCCTCCGAGGCTTGCAATCCCGTGTGTAAATTGCCTGGTGCCCGGGGACATCTGTGACCCGGCGTCACGATTTTGAGGTGACAGTGGAAGTCGGGCTGAACTGAGCAGAGAAGGAGGAGGAAGACACTGTCCTCACCAGGAGAAGGGGTAGCGCTGAAGTCTCCGTGGGTGCCCCCACCTGTCCCTCACCACCTGCCTCGCGGGAGAGGCTCTGGAAGCTTCTGAGGGGGACTCTAGCGGAGGCGGCTGCCTCCCAGTCTGAATATCAGCTGCTCCCCTTCCTTCCAGAGATTCGTCAGTCCTGGAAGATGAGAGAAGGATCTGGGCCTGCACTCCCCTGGGGGCTGAGCTGGAGCCCCACAGGGTGGGCAGGGTGGGGTGGGTGCGGGCAGGGGCGGGT